ATTTTCCCTGCTAGAACTGATGATGATGCAAGTGAATGCTTTGGCCATAAGCTTCAAGGTTCACATGGCCCCTAACCCAGATGTCAGCAACCAACTGTGAAGGAATTTAGCTTTTTTTAAAGAAATAATTCTGGATTTTAAAGATATCTTTGTGTAACTTCACGTGGATTGAGGTTATTATGGAAATTCAAAGTCTAAACTGTTAGATTAAGTATAATCTTTTCACCTGGGTGGTGCTGCTTGCCACCATAGGCAGGGAAGTGATAGTAGGATGTTCCCTCTCTCACAGAATTCTTGTCGTACTGTTTTACAGCTGCTGATCCAGCTGCTTCTGCTGGAGGTTACCTTCCTCCTCTGCAGAAAAAGAATAGGCTGTATATCAGCCTTGGACTAGTAGAAGTATTGGCTGGCAGTAGGTGAAATAGTAGGTGGAGCAGTAATGTTTCAGACCTGGCTGCAATGAAAAATAATTATCGTTCCCTAGCTGTCTCTGCTTACCTTGTGTTGAGGTTTTTGACCTAGTCAGCCACAGCATTTTTCAGTACAGTGTATCAGTTTAAATCTCTGAAATTAATAGTATTCTAGCTGAGGAGATGGAGCTTTTTTTGCATCTTCTCAGAGTCTCACAAAACTAGTATCTGTGCTGGCATACACTAATCACAGCCTGAATCTGAGGATGAGATTGCACCTGAAAAACCCTATTGCTTTTGAATAGGTGCACTTTTCCAGCTCCTGAATCTCACCTCTGCTTTGTGCAGGCTCCTCTAGAGCAACCTACATACCTCATATGAATGTGCCTTTAGGAGTGACCACAGGGATTCTGCCTTCAAAGCATGAATAAAAGCATATGCAGATTGCTGAACAGAACTGGGGGTTTGCTCCTCAAAGCTGCTCTATGGAAGCTCTGTGCTAAGTCCCCTGGCATTTTTTTAAGATTAAGTCCTCAATGATCAGTGAGTGAAAAATTATAATTAAAAAAAAAAAAAAGGAAAAATGACCTATATAATGGATCACTTATGATGATATTTTTCCTACATCTGACACTGCAAAAGAAAGTGTTATATTTTATGAGCATCTCTGAATTCTTTATAATGTGCTAAATTGTTAGGAAAATTGATATTGCAAATAGGTTTAAGTAGTCATGTATTGGCAATCTAATATTCATACTGATTACTAAGCCCTTACTCAGTTTGACTAGACACTGTATCTAAATGATCATGATACTGTTTATCATGAAACCTTCTCTAGTGTCATTCAACTTTACCCTTCTATTTTCAGCTGTGGTACATCTTGTAAGTATGAATGGTTCCCTGGAATATTCATTCATAAAGCTATCATACGATTCGTTAACTCTTTTTGTTTTATCAAGTCACTGACAATTTCCAGGTTTACAAATTGCATTCATATGAAAGAGGGAGTTCAACACTTCAGGAAGTGTTCACTCTAAGATAGCATCTGCAAACAGCTTACTATAGGGATTTGACTGTTCAAGTTAAACTGTTTTAATTACACTTCAACCTTACCCCCAGTTTCTGCAAAGCAGTACTTATGTGACGAAGAGCCATGCAAAGCTGTCTGCACAGGAGCAAATTTCACCTTTGGGGATTAATTATAAAGAGGGTTTGGTGATGAACAATTTTGCAATGCTTCAATAGGATAGCTAAACCTCCCCAATGTGTGTTCAAAAAAATTAATTCAGAATGCCAGATTTTGATGGATTTTTTTGTGTGCTATCAAACTGTAAGCATCTGTGACTATTTTAATTTCTCTTTACCCCCAAATTAATATGAGGTGAAACACAGAGAAAGAACAGTAGTGTCAATTCCTGTATCTTCAAACAAAATTATATTGGGCTTTGCCTCCACAGCCATTTCTTTGTGACTCTCTGATTCCTTAAAAATTTGCCAGGATAGGCAACTAAAATTAACTGAATCAAAATTATCCCTCGCTGCTCCAGCTTCTGCTCTCAATCAGATTGCTTTGGAGTTTTGTTCCAACATTTGTTTGGAAAAGTGGAAATGCTTCTATAAAATCAAGTACAAATGTAAGAAGTGACCTCTTGGCTGAACAGTCATTTTCATAGAGAAGAAAAAATAGTACAGCTAATGTAAAGGTAACATCTCTGGTGGCTTGATGAAGCAGCATCTTTGGTTACCTGGTTCAGTTTTAAGTTAGGGAGAATAAAACGTCTCAAATGGAGGGAGTGGTTCAAAACCTCTTCTCCACATCATATCTGATGTCTAGGCAGACTTTTAAGAAGGCCTAGGAGTTAAAAATCTAAGCAACTATAAAAATTCATAGAATCATAGAATAGTTAGGGTTGGAAAGAACCTTAAGGTCATCAAGTTCCAACCCCCCTGCCATGGGCAGGGACACAAAAAAATTCAGTTTGAAATTCTTTCTTTCTTTCCCCTTTCTTCCTCCTGCTCCCTGAAATCTGCCTAACTTTGTCAGCCAGGTTTATTACATTTTTCTTTCATGCACGGAGAATTTTGTCAAACAGAAGGAACCCTGAAACTACAACAAAAACTATGTTAAATTAACCAAATATGGGGGCAGTGCAGTTTCTTCTCTACTCTTTATTTAATAATAATAGACATCTTGAAATAAAACTCTTCAGATGCAGGTCATTTGTGTCCCTACAAAACTGATTTATGTCAGATAACCTCAGGGATTCAATTAAATGAATAGTGTTTTAAATTCATGTGTGTTGAATTCGTTAGGTTCAATTAGCTGCCTTATAGAAGCGATAAAGTTTATTTTTATGAAATTTCTTTACCAAGAAAGATGTGACCTGTCATTTGTTAGCAAAGTTTTGTTCATTCCTGCCAGTGGAGGCAGAACTTATCTTCAGTGATGTGCTCTAGAAGCAGTCCTTGAATATGTCCTTCACATGCAAAAAAAGAACATCTATTAGAAGCTCACGGTTCCACCATGGAGTGTTTGCAGGAGAAGCAAACACAGGATGGATTTTGTTATTATTGTTGGTTTTAAGTCCGGGGGGGGGGGAGGAGAAGCAACAACAAACAAAAACAACACCCACCCACCCCCCCCAATAAACCACCAAACCCAAACCTGGAGGATTTTATCACTTCGAAATTGCCTTCTACTCAAATAAGGTTACTTTTTCATTTGTATGGGTTTTGACAGTGCCTTCCCAGAGTTGCCTTGGTTTCTGTTAGTTCTCTGAAGCAAGGCTGATGATTTTTGTTGCTGTTTCGGAGTCCAGTGTAAATAAGAGAGGCAAGGTACTTGTGACAGATGAGGTTGAGGTGATGGAGAATGTAGCTGCTGCTTGCTATTTACTGCTGGCTGCCATGCTGAAAAGCTAGAGGAAACGTTAGGCTGCCTTTCACCTGCACTCGTCTTACCATGCTCCTGAAACGTTCCACTGAAAGGTGTTAAGGGCTGATTTCCAACTAGCCCTGCTTCTGGTTGCACCGGCAGTCTACACGGATGAGTAGAGGGATGAATGACTGGGGAGCTGCTTCCCGTCCTTTGTTCAAAGTTGAAGCCCCTCTGCAGCTTTAATGCAGTATTGTTGTTTTTAACTGCTCATCCTCTAGCACAAGAAAAAAACCTGTGTACAGATAGGGGTGACATGATTCTTTCCAGCATTGCTCCTTCAACCCTTATGGGGGAGGGAGGGGAGAATCAAAGATGTATTTTCTTTTCTATGGCTTTTTAAAATGCTCTATCACAACCTGCAAATAGGCACAGAAAATGCCATTTCTTGCTGAAGTAATGCTGCATACAAAGACCGTTGTGAGAAGGGGAGCATGGGGGAGGAGGAGGCACTCAAAGATGCACCAGGATCTGAGAAAACAGCAAGATCATGATTTTTCTGTCTGGGGAATTCAAGACTGTTAATTGCTCTCTTGCAAGGCGCAGATAGCACTTGTCACATCAGACTGGTGCTGGGGGATGTCTGTCTTGTGCCGGAGTTTGGAGGTACAGTGTGAGGGTGACTGTGCGCAGAGCAGCCAAGCCGACTGTCCAGGCAGTTGTCAAATGCTATGCTCCGAGTAATCCACCCTGACGTTTGCGTGTTAACTTTCTTGCACTTATCTTTAATCTGGCTTCCGTTCTGAAGGCATCCCTAAGCTGAGAGTGAGCTTTCTCAGGCGTGCTCCCAGAAACTGAACTAAACTGACTGGATAAATAGTAATAACTAGTAGTAGTTTACATACTAAATGAGGGGGATAACGCTGTGTTTTGATTGATGCCAGTCCCCAGCTCACCGCCCTGCCCAGTTCTACATCGAAAGCAGGCTGAGGCAAAAGCCACTACAAACAGCCTGATGAGCTGAGCAGTAGTTGAAAGAACTTTGAAAATCTCCGTACAGGTTGAACTTGGTGAGTTAGTTAGGAACGTACAGCCCCGCGCCTTTCCTCCGGAGCCAGCTGCGTCAGTGCCGGCGGTGGAGCAGGGACGATGAACGGTACCATGGCGGGCAGCGGCCCGGGGACAGGTGCAGGCACGGAGGTGGAGGAGACGGCGGGGGGCCATGAGGGAGCCCCGCTCAGGCAGCCCCACCGCACACCGTGCTATGCGGCGAGACCTGCGCCGCTGTTTGAGCCCTTCTTAGCTCAGAGTTGCCTGCAGCCGAAGGGTTGGAGGCAGCTCTGAGGCCGCGCTGCCGTGTGGGGGCTCGGGCTGCGCTAAGCCGTTGGAGGAGCGTTGGTGGTGGGTGCCGTTCCCCCGCCCTCGCACTACACCTCCCGGCGTGCACCGCTGCAGTCGGCCCTGCCTGGGCTGGCACGGGGGCCGCGCTGCCCCGCGGGAGTTGTAGGCCGGGAAACGATGGGAAAAGGGGTGAGGGGGTACCCGGTTTCGGGCCGTGCACCGACCCCTCCCGCTGCCTGAGGGAAGGCTGCTGCCGGGGGAAGGAGGGCGGGCGGGCGTTCCTCCGGGATCGACGACACGTGTCAATCACCCCGCCAGGCGGCGCGCGCTCCCGCCCCGGATGCTGATCGGGTGCGGGGGGGGGGGGAGGTGTGGAGAGGAGAGGAGGGGGGACGCGGGCACGCGCCCGACGAGGCAAGGGGGGTAGTGAGGGGTGGGGGGGGGGAGGGAGGGAGAGGAGCCGGGGGAGCGCGCGCTCGTATGTAAATGAGCGGGCGTGAGGTCAGAGGCAGATGGAAAAGGGAACAGACAGAATGGCCGCCGCGGCTCCCGCTCCTCCTGCCGCCACCTCCCAGTGCCGGAGCCCCCGCTGCACGGCGGAGCGCAGGGGAGTCCGCCGAGAACTCGACTCCTGGCGGCACCGGCTCATGCACTGTGTGGGTAAGAGACGGGGGGAACGGCGGGGTACCACGGCCGCCGTGGGGAGACCGAGAGGAGGGGGTAGCGAGATCCTTGAGGGGAGCGGGGCGGCAGGGAACGGGGTCTCAGGTGGGGAAAGGGGGAAGCGGGCGAGGCGCTTGGTGTCCGGATCTCCCGGGTGGGCGGGGGGAAAAGCAGAGATGGATGAGCGGCTCCCGAGGCTTTCTTGGAGGGTGGAAGCGGAGAGGGGGTCTGAGGGGAGAGCTGTGATCCTAAGCCGCCTTCAGGGACCTGAGGTGGGTTGTTACGGCTTCGGCTGGGGACACTCGGTCCCTCTCTTCGCCGCCGACCGAGACCCTTTCTCGGTTCGGGTCCTTTTGTCTCTGCTTCTCGTCGTTCGCGCGGTGAGTGCCGGTGGCTGCCCCCCTCCTCTTCTTCTCCACCACCAGTGCCTGGGGGGCGGAGGGGGGAAGGGAGCCCGCCCGTGTGTGTGTATATGTGTATGTGTGTGCGCCTTTAAGAGGGAGCCGCTCCTGCACTGACGGTTGGGATTTGAAGTTTTCCCTCCCCCTGGAAGTTGTCATGGCGACGGCCGTTCTCCCCTCGCGCTCCCCCCCGCCCCCGGGGCTGCCCCGGTGGCTCTCGTGCCGCGAGGTTCCCCCGGGGTCACGTGACGCGGCGGGGCGGGGCCGGGGGAGCGCGGGCCCTGGCGGCCGCCCCGGCCGGGGTAACGGCTCCCGGCGCGCGTGCCGCCGCGGCAGTGCCGCCTGCGGGCGGGGGGCGCCGGGCTCCGGGCGGTGGTTTCTGTGCGTTGGTGGGGAGCAGGGCGCCTCTATGCCAGGAGTCTCTTGTCTGTGGTTCCAACACGCACTGCCCTTCTTGGGAACGTGGATCAAACTGATCCCTGGTCTTCAAGTAGCGTGCGAGTGTCGGTGCTCATCCACTCCGAGCGGAAGAAACGCGTCTAGATGTGACCGGGAGAGTACGCAGCAACTCATTCCAGTGTTTCTGCGTGTGCTTGAGGCGAGAGCAGGGAAAGAACTAAACGTCTAACAAGTAGGCACACTTACAATTGCAGGCGATTAGCCTTTTGTGTTTTATCTATTATCATGCACGCATGCTTTTCGTCCTTGCTGTGTTGTCCCAATAACACTTTTAAACACCTGTTACCACACCTGTGTATGTCTTATGGTACCTGTGTATGTTTGCACTGCCTGTTTAAGCCTTCAAATTATATTGCTTAGGAAAGCAGTGTTCATGTACTTCTGTACCCTAATACATTATATAATGCTTATTGTGGAAATAAAGTAGTTTAGTTAGAATATGTAAGGAGAGCTAGTTTATCGGCATAGATGATGTGGTAAATTTAAATCTGATGGAGGGGTATCTCTCTCAATATTTAAGTGGCTGTTACCTAATGGTGTTTCAGTTTTAATTTTTAGCTAAAATCCTTACTTTTTACACTGATGTCACTGTGGTATTGCTTCAGACTCAATTTTCTCCTCCTCTTAATAAAAGCTATGTAGAATATGATTCTTTTGTATGCTCAAAATGCAAAATTCAGTTAATAGAAGGGAGCCCTGAAATGATTAGCAAGTGCTCAGGAGGAAGGAGGTTGGTTATGGTTTAATAGTTAGTCAAGAGCTATCTCAGTTAAGAACTGTTAACTTGGCATGCCTGTTGAGCAGCCCTTATCTGAGAGAAAGTGTAAATAAAGTGGCAAGAAAGTAAGTAGTCAGGCTAATGGAGGTAGAGTACACTTAACAGGTTTGGATTGAGGGGTTTTTTCTTTACTCCTTTGAAATCCTGTAGCATTGGCTTCTGTAATATAACTTCCTACATTATCTCAAATTAACTTCCGAAGTAGAAATGGTTCATTGTTCTCACTAAGCAAAGTATTCCTAAGGATTTGAAGAGTAACAAAGTCAGTATTAACTGGAAGGTCTGAAAAGTTGTCAGGTTGATGACTGAAATGGCAGCATGGTGGGAGGAGAAGTGGTGAATAGGATGGATTTGTCATAACTTACTTTTTCTTTTTCCACCCTTCTCAAGAATCATACATTTGTAGCAAAGTGAGGAAGATGATGTGGTAAAGTAGTAGCCCCCCAGTTCTTGAACTAGCTTATTGTCAATCCTAAAACAAATGAAACACCACCACCAACAGAAAACTTGGATCATTCTACCCTTAGGGGTTTTATTTAATTAAAAAAAAAAAAAAATTGGCAGTTAATGCAGTTCTGTGTACTATCATTTGTCTAACACTGCTCAGAAAGCAATGCAGGAAAGTAGACTTGTTGAACATGTCTACTGTTTCTGCTAAAGCTTTTGGATAACCAACATTACTTCGGTGTCTTGTATCATTCATTGATACTAAGTTTGATATTTGCCTTTCTGTAGTATAATCACTTGAGCATTTTAAAATCCTTTGCCTGTACAGGATTCCTCAGTCACTTACTGTAGAAGTGGTAAACCAAGTCAGAGATACTGCTTCCAAGATGGTGATTGTAGAACTTGAGAGTGTTACTCAAGAGACTGCTCATACCTGCAACAGTGAGACAGAAGTAATGCTCAGTTGCCTGCAGTGTACTGATGGGATGACTCATGGTTAGGGACCTCTGCTTGAAGGGCTCCATTGCCGAATTCTTTGTTTGTCAGAACAGACTTAGGTATTTACATGGGCTTTAGAATCAAAAGCTTGGGTTTTGCCAGCCTATTATTTTAATTTGTGACCTGTGGAATGTAATTTAAAGTCTCAGGCCATAATGTTTCTGCATTTAAAGAGTTAGAGAAGAAAAACAGCTATAAAATTTCATTGACATTATGGAGAATTATTTTATTTGGTATCTAGACATACTTGAAGGTACAAAAGACTTCACATTGTAAGTTAATTGACTATATTCACTGAAATTCTAAGTAGGTGTTCAGTACAAAATGGCTGATCAGATGGTAGTCTTTGTGTGGTTGTGTTAGGCACTAATGTTCCTAAGATGCCTAGATTTGTGCTTATGCATGTACCTAACTCTTGCATGACTTGATCAGGGTTCAGAATGAGATGATCTTGGCAGGCGCTTGAAGATCTTTATTGTGTTGATGTTCTTAAATCATGCACAATACATGATAACAAATATTGTTTATAACAGTGCTTACTGGTATATGTTTTGTCCTACGTACAATCTTTGCTATGTAACAAAGAAACAACATATCCTAATTCTATGTTCTGTGTTTCTGGAGAAGTGACAGAAAGTTCAGAGTACCTAAATTAGCTAGCAACTGAGTTCCATGTTGGTTTAAATTGCAAGGTATTTTATATAGGGGAATATTGGAATGGTTAAAAATTGCTTTTTGATGCTCTTTGATTAAAACTTTGTAATGTGAATTGAGTCGAGAGGCTTTGGTAGTATGGAACTATAAAAGTCTAGCTTCATACCATGGTCAGCATTAAGAAACAGGATTTATGCAGTCATTGATCCCACTGACTGATTTCATTTGAACTTTACAGGTTGCATCTTGGCAAGTACATTGAGTCCCAATAACTATTGAATAGGCAGAGAGGAGGGACCTAGTAATTGCTGGGATGCAAGAAAATGCTGAGGTGGTGCTTCCTACTTCCTTGTCACAGTATCCTGTGTGTAATGTTTGGAGCAGTGACTTGAGGCTTTTTAATGGGAATTACCAGGTAACTCCAGTCATGGATGTTGAAATGTTCTTGCTAGGGTCTTGCATTGTATTGTGAAAATATAAAAGCATCTGAATAATCTTGCATTGTGAAAATGAAAGTTTAAAATACTATCACGGCTACTTTAAAAGAAGTATATATATAAATGTATATATACTGCTGCCTGAGGGGAGGGGAAGGGTAGAAGTTTTACTTTTCTCCTGCAGCTCAAGGACACACATTTGAAGGGAAATAGCCTTGGTATTGCTTTCTTATGAAAACTGAAACTTGACTGAAGTGAAAATCCATTTTTATATGCTTGTGATATCTAGCATATAGTACTCCTTTACTTCTCTTATATTTTTTCAGACTTTTTTGCTTCTGAACTAGGATACATCAGTGTATCTAATTCTGTTTTGATGGATGTAGACTTTGTTATTTTTTTAACCTATTTGAACTTCTGCTCCAGCTTACTGTTTTTGAACAAGCTGCCTCTCAAGTGCACTTTTCAAGCGGAGGAATTCCCCCTGCAGATGAAAGACTTGTAGCTACTGCTTTTGGTATTATCCCCACACTTGGAACACTCTTGCATCAAGTACTTTGTATCTTTATCCCCACAATACACAGAAGCATTCTCACTTTCACTGTGGCTGTAAGTACTTAGCCTCAGGTTAGTGCCACTTTTTTTGTAATACTGTTGCAGCTGTAGGTGACTCTATGTAGCTGCCACAATAATAGTGGCAGAACTGGTTACTTTACTATATAATATTTATAATGTTTTTTTTCCTATCTGTTAGTGATTGCTTTGGTGGCTTAATGCTCTATTACCTGTCAAGCCACCAACAGCCTGTATACAAGAATGATTTCAAAAGGATACCTGCTTTTACCCCTTTGGCTTTCTTGGCACTCTAGCTTCTTTTAAACAGTGGACAAGCTTCCATCATCCAGTATGATAGCCAGTAATACTGGTATAAGGTGTTTCTGTGGATCTGTCATCCTTTGAGCTGTGATGTGCAATCATGGCCTGATTCCAGTGTAAAACAGATTGAGGAACTAATCTCAGTCCTCCTGCAATGGTTGGAGAAGAACATGAATTAAGTCTAGATCAGAATCACAGCACAGGTTCACGGGCAGTTTTGATGCGGTGGGGAAAGATGGCATCATGTAATGGGATAGCTCAAACTGGTATTATAGAGGCAGGTTTGCAAGTCAGCATTAGTGTTGAACACTTATTATGAAACCGCAATCTAAGAATACACTGGAGTACCATTTTGTATGCTCAAGTCTTACGGAACTATTACCAGAATGGAAAAATCACAATCCTGACTCTGTGCTTCTGCTGCTCACATGCTTGTATCAGCACTGC